ACTGACCCTAACCTGAAGCCAGGTGACAGCTGCTTCAAAAAGTCTAATCTGCTTATTAACAAAAACCCAGAAAGGGAATAAATGGATGATTGCTATTGATTCCCATGATAGCTCTACAGAGACCCAGTAACTTCTCTGGATTAGTATAGAAAGAAGCCAATTAGTTTTATTTCATATGTAAATAGAGCATAAAGAGGTACAGAAAATAATTCATTGGATTGCTTTATCCTAAAGCAGAAGGCACACATTTTGAAAGTCACTTCAAACACAGTTCTTGCTTATGGAGCTCTCTCTTTCTCTTAGGCAGGAATTTTTAAAATAAATTCAAACTCATCCAGCTGTGTATATTCAAGAAATACCAAAAAGTCACAAGGCATAGTAAGTTTCAGCTGTTCTACTCTCTCCAGTGTTATCAATAACACATAATGAGTTAGTTCCTATATCATCACAGCTGTGCAGGCCAGAGCTAACTTGGCTAATTTAACTATTCCAGCATAGTTCAGTCAGGAGCTTGCTCTACTTTAGATAATCCACTCTGCAAGTCAAATAGAAAATAGCAGCATATGCCCTATATTATCATTAATAGCACTTCTCCCTGTCTTCTTTCATGGAGTTCTGTGAAGTCATCTAATGGTATTGTCCCTTAGAGTAAAAAAAAAAAAAACAAAAAAAACAAAAACAACCTTCTAAGAGCAATTAACAATCAAAATCAGTCAAAAGTAAGACTGTAACACCACTCTAGGCTTAAACCATAAACTAATAAAACTCCCTCTCATATCAATAAGCTTTAATTCCAAAAGAGGAGAAAAAGAACACTGGCCTCTGAGAAAAATTAACCATGGAGTCTAGTCTTCTGCAACTTTCTTCTTCACCCTCCTCCTCTTTCAGGAATTCAGGATTAGAAATAATCACTTAACTTGGGACTTATTTTCACCTACAGATTACCTACAAATAAAGTTTGCAGAGTGCCTTTCCTTCACGGGTGGTAGTAACTAGAAGACTATTCTGTATTCTGGCACACTTTAACATGAATATAATATGAAAAACAGTGGTGATCTCAGTTGCTAAAGAGAAATTTGCACATCCTTCACAATTTCAATTATCCACGACAGTATTCTATACAGTTAGTAAAGCTCTTTCAAAACTGCTTAGTCCTGCCATTTAGTATCATTTTCTACTAAGGATGAGTGCTTAAATTGTCAGAGACCGTGTTTTCTTAATCGAAAACACAACATTCAATGTTGTTTTCTTAACTGTGTATTTGGAATTTGGAAATTCTCCTAAGCCCATCCCGTGTGCAAAAGAAGCCTTGGCATCTAAATATGGGGAGTTCATACATACAACTAGTTACCAGTTGATGTCAGCAATAAATATCTGGAGATATATAAGGGCAGAGTGAGAAAGCAAAGTGGGATTGTATCATACTTTGGGATAAAGACAAAATTGGAAAAGAATAATTAAAATAATTTCATTATAATGAACCAAATAAGCTTAACTATTGAAATCCTCTTTTTTTTTTAAAAAAATGTTATTAGTACCTAGGGATCTTGACTAAAGACCTGGAAGGGACCTGTGACCTTATCTAGCTAAACTTCCTTTCCAATTTCCTTCTTGAGAATAAAATGAACACTGCACATCTAATTTGGATTAATTTAGATCTTAAATCCAATACATTTGCAAAACAAAGAATTTTATCTCTACAGTTTGAAATTATGAACTTTGGCCTCTACTAGAGACCCAGAACTATGAACTCTCCCCAAGTTCCATACAGTGAAGTAACAGGGATATGGTATATAATAATGATTTTCCAAGTCATATAAACTGCTGGAAACAAGTGGGATAAACAATTGCCATTCATTATTTCTGAATCCAAAGACTGCTGGGCCAGACTTGGGCATATACACAGCTGAACACACACTTCCTGGTTATGTGCAATCTGTACAGATAGACCAGCTTTACAGGCCTGACCACAGAGATTAATAGCTTTAGCCAAATAATGTGGTAACCATGTGAACCTGGGCTGCTCCAGCTTGTTTGTGAATCTCTCAGCAAGGCTCAACATGCCGTTATCTGCATCTTGTTGCCAGGAAACACAACATCGTTTTGGAATACAAGGAAAACCAGGTTGCAATGACCACAGGTCAGCTTCCCAAAAGCCTAATTTTTGACACTTAGCTATCTACAATCTTATTTCTTACTGGTGTCTATGGAGAACGTCACTTTACTAGTAATTAACTGTTAATACTTTTTGCTATTTTTATCAGAGCAGGACCACTTACTATCATTAACAATGTAGCAGCAGCATTAGTAATTACAATAATTCACTCATACTTTTCCTCTCAAGTGTCAAATGAATGTTAGTTTCCTTAAAACAAATTTGGAAATCAAGCACTCACTCCAACTACTTTATAACTAATCCAACAACGTATACTTATGGGTCTATATCTAGGTCTAATTTTTTAGCCAAATAATTTTACCAAAGAATATAATACCCAATATGCCGCTGACCTAAGAGTTCTTGGATTTTTTGAGATCAAAATACCTGTCTTGCCTTGTTCATGGTAACAGAATGTAATGTGTTGGACAATAATCCTGCTAGTTTCTTCCTGACCAATTCAAACAGATAGAAACTTAATGTACCAAGATGCTGAAGTACTCAGCAGACTGGAAATGTGCTTCATAAGAGTGAAGTGGGAGGCCACTATTCTGCAGTTTTGCAATCTGGAGATGGAAGGATTACAGTGGCTTTGAGAGTATATAAAATTAATTACCTTGACATACCAATTAGAATTGCTAGCTCATGGGCAATACAGATTTTGGACAATACCTTATTAAAAGATTTTTGAGATAAAATGGAAAACATTTTTCTTTCCTCCAATGCTTGCTTTAAAAAAAAAAAAGTACTTAGCTTTATTACAGGATCTAAGAATTTTGCTACCCAAGCAAGACAGAATCTTGAATACCTAATATTATCAAGATAATACATTAATGATTAGAAAGCTACATTCTTTTTTTAAAAATATTTTATTTATTTGAGAGAGAGGAAGAGAGAGGGAGAGAGAGGGGGACAGAGAATCTGAAGCAGACTCTGCACTGAGCGCAGAGCCCAATGAGGGGCTCAATCCCACAACTGTGAGAGCATGACCTGAGCCAAAACCAAGAGTTGGATGCTTAGCCGACTGAGCCATCCATGATTTAAGCTACATTCTTGCTATTATCTTACTTTTATCCCAAGGGGCTCCTATATAATAATGCCTTAAGTTTAGTCTTATAGTGTTTCTTATCTTGTTCCATGCATCCTTTTTGAAACACAAGATGCAAAGTTCTAGTTTCATGATAATTAAGTTGCCAAAAAGACACACCAATCTGTGTACTATACAACTGAAATAATGCACTATTAAGAGAAAAACACTTACCTAATATTAGAAGGGAGCAAGTTTAAACAAAACAAAAACCTGGTTTCTACGATGTCAACAATGCCCTGGCACTACGTTGAACACAGGTTAACATCAAGACGAACAAAATTAGAAAACTTAGAAATGGTTTACTGACACCATTTGATTGCTGACTCTCCAGACACTTGGATTAGTGTAACCCAAGTTATCTGTGAACAATGAACAAAGATGACTCTTAAGAAAGTGTTTCTTTTGGGGGCATCTGGATGGCACAGTTGGTTAAGTGCTCTACTCTTGGTTTAGGCTCAGGTTGTGATCTTGGGGTCATGAGATCCAACCCCCCACCAGCTCAGCACGGAGTCTGCTTAAAACTCTGTCTCCCTCTGTCCCTCCCAGACTCCCCACACCTGTGCATGTGCGCGTGCTCGCTCTAAAATAGATAAATCTAAAAGGAAAAAAAAAAGGGTTTCTCTTGGACTTGTGGGTTAGGATACTCAGCAAATTTTTCCTTCCTAAGGGTCATACCTTTCCATACTACATCAGGCCATTCATCATCTGTGAAGCTGTCAGGTTGCCCTCATTGTCTCCCAAGTCAGGTAGCATGGACAGATGTATTCTTCTCCCCTCATATAATTTTAATCCTTTCTCTTGGTCATAGACAAATAGCTATTAATATCACATATTTTAACTCCTATACTATAGGAGAAACAACTAGAAACATAAAGATTAATGCTTACTATACCACCATTATTACACTAGCGACTTCACAAGTGGCAACTATCATTTTCCTCTTCATTTTTATGTTAATTAAATAGGAATTCAGATGTGGAAGTTTCAATTCCCTATGAGTGACTATTGCTTGGGCATACGCACTTAAAAGAACTGAATTATTTATGTACATGCCTTGCATACAAAAACTTGAGGATAATTTTTTTATGTAAATGATAAACATATCTATTAACATAAATTTTCCCTCCAACTTATTATTCAGGTCTAAGAAAACAGCCTGAATTGTAGAACAATCTTATCTGTAAGATAAATAGAATAATAAACTTAATGGTAAAAAGCTTTAAGGAAACCAAAAGAAATTTAAATTTAACATGTTTGGGCATGATTCAGAAGTTTGGGAAGAAGTACACAGAAAAACCGTACCATTCAAAATGGAAAGAGGGCCACAAAAATCTCCAAACAATACCATTTCCCTTTAAAAAACAGCAGCTACTCAATATGCAAAACTTCAAAATAGATAAATTTGGTATTCATTATTTATGCTATTATAAGATTAACCTTGGATTTTCTTTCAAAAGCAAGATCTCTTCTGTGATTAAAACAGTATCTGATTCACAGCATTCAATGTATATGCAACTTCTCAGGCACACATACAGTGCACAGAGTGACATCTGAATTGTTCAAATCATAAAACCTTCATTGTCTGGTTAGGTAAACAGTCTGCATTCAACCAACATGAAAAATCAGGATAGCATACAGCCAAAAGAATAAAACCTGTTAGGTTACTACTGAAAGAAACCACCCTACTAAGCATTTAGCCTCTTGACCTTCTCTACAGGATTTAACAACAGCTTTAAAGTAGTTATAAATACATACCCATACTTCATTCTCATTCTATCATTCTCTGGATTACAGTAAAATCTTTCCAAGTGCTCCTGGGAATCAGTGGATACACTCTGCCACTTCTGAGTAGTTGTCCTCTTGATCTGCCAATGATATGGCAAGACCGTGTGGTGCTTCAAACAATCCCTGCCATAAATACAAGTGCCTTGCAAAAAGTCCATGCAAATTTCAATTCCGTTCTCTTGGTGAGTATGGTACTGTAGCTGGTTCACCAGCTCAAACACAAGGTCAAGGGAAGCCTCTTCACTTTTGTCCTGAAAGAGCTCAGTACTCAACTTATCACTGGTGTCCAAAATGTACTGAATTGTAAAACTGTTGTCTTGGAAAACCCCTGGAATGTAATCCATGACTTTGTCTATGCAGTCAGGACTAGCAGGAACATCACCTGAAACTGAATGCAAAAGGTCAGTCTGGAAGTGCCCTGCTGCAGAATCTGCCACTGTCCCACTGAGAGTTTCGGGTGGAAAGCTGTGATCCTGGATTGGAACCACTTGTTCTGGAGCATCAGTGGAAGGATGGGCTTCTGGTATTTGGCCCCCAACACTTGTCCCATCAGGAATCAGGACAGACATACTATTTTCTGCTGGTGGACATGACGGACTGATTTCTAGGGGTTTTTTCACTATAGGTTCATGTAAGCTGCTCTCATCTGCACTCTGGTTTCTAGATCTGAAAACACCATCAAGTGAGCCAGATTCTAGCAAAGTATTTAAAATTGGCCTCAAAGACCTCAGGGTTCCAGTTCCCAATCTCTTCTGCTCCTTTTTCTTAAAACAAGTCTTCAATGGAGTGATCTTCTCAGACAGTCTCATTTGGCATGAAAAGTCATCAGGAGGAGAGGGAGGCTGCACTACACAGTCTGGCTCAGGTTCGGTGGTTTCCATTTCCATGGTGTGGATTAGCTCCAATTGCTCCTCAGAGTCTAAAAATCCTACCAGGAAAGGAAAGAAGATGATCACTTACAAGCTGACAACAACTGGTTCCCATTCCTTCATCAAAATGTTTTGTTTTAGTCTAAGTCTCTGAAGTCACTCCTCTTATACCATATTTCATCTTTATGGGTCAATTTTAAATTTTATTGAGAAATTAAGGCTCCAAAGCAGCCAAGGCTATTCAAAAGCCCACAGCAGGTAAAGGTAAAGAGACAGTACCTTCCAGTAGGCTCTTGATATTTATTTGTGGACAATATACAATTGGTAATTCTGCTGGGGTATGAATTTTTACTGTAAGTCTAGGGGGTGTTGGGGGGTGAGGGGTAGAAATAAGTGTGGCTAATAGATGACAACACGGAAACCACATCTCTGCTTTGTGTTCTCTTCAGAGTTGTTTATCACCTCTCCCACGAGGTGATAAAACCTGTTTGTTAAAAAAAAAAAAAAAAAAAGTTCACCAAATGAAGGATAAAATTCCAAGTTAAATAGTGAGTGAATTTAAAGTATAAAGATATATTCAAGAAACAGGTGCTCTCAATTGAAATGTTATATGAGAGAAAGCCAGGAGCATGTTGAAGCATTTCTAAATTCTAATATATTCCCTGAGGATGTTAAGGGTCTACTTTTACAATCCCCAAAACATTACTACTATTGGAGGAAGTATACCAGTTGCTTGTTTAGCAACAGAAGCTACCTAACAGCAGCAAACACTATATGCTGTCTTAGAAACCAAACACAACTTCATAATTCAGAAAGGGCCTTGTTATCCTTGTCTTCAGAAAAGTTACATATATGATTTTATCTATTAAAACAAATGAAAGCATATTATAGAAAAATACAAGAATATAAAACACACACTAAATGTCAGATTCCTAATGAACTACTGAGACCAAAAAAAAAGTGCTCTCTTCAAAGAATCAGACCCCTTGAAAAAAACTAAAACTTAAAGTAAAAAGCAAAGGAAACTTTGTAAAATGACAAATGGTGTCTCCTCCACAAGCTAACATTCATTAACCAATTCTGAAAATATTTACTAAGCATTGTACGAGGTGGAAGAGCTGGTAAAGAGCAGTTAATCTTCTCTTTTGGACAACTGACTAAAAGAAAAAGAGATCATTGATGCAAGGGCCCATGACTTCATCAAATACTCCTCCCAGGTGATCAGTACCATGCCTAGCACAATGCACACGGTGGGTGCTCTATACTATTTTTTAACTGAATCACTGAAGAAAAAGCACCTGTTACATGACTAGTTCTGTTAGCCTTTACAGGTCAACAACAAAATGATAAAACTGACTCCCCAGAAAAATGAATATTAAAGATCTCATTGGAGAGATTCATGAATCTACATATAAAAAGTTCATAATGATCAAACTCAGAAATAAAACAGTACAGCTAACCCTTGAACAAGGCCAGAGTGGGGATGGTTCAGGGAACCCACCCCTGGAAAAATCCGTTTGTAACTTTTTGACTCTTGCAAAACTTAATTACTAATAGCCTACTGTTGACCAGAATTAACAGTTGATTAACACATGTTTCGTGTTATATGTATTATATACTGTATTCTTACAACAAAGCTAAAGAAAAGAAAACGTTAGTGAGACAATATGTTTATAGTACTGTACAAAATCCGCGTATAGGCGACGCTGCAAAGTTCAAACCCCTTTTTTCAATGCTCAACTGTATATAACCAGGTGTTAGTGCACACGGTAAGTACAAAAGAAAAAGGCAGAAAAAGAGTTCAGTGTGAGCTGGCATTGTTAGGGAAAGCTTCACAAGGAGGGACTTGACATAAGACATAAATCAACTGGAAAGCAGCCAAGCCAGGCGTTATTATTCATCATTCGGTGCTCTCGCCTCAAGGCACAATTGGCAGAGATTGTGGTATTCCCTCTCCACCACACTAAACCCGCTTGTGCCTTCCGTCGCGCGCGCGCGCGTGTGTGTGAGCGCGCACACACGCACACACACACACACACACACCACTCCGATCACATCCAATCAAGGGAAAACGGACACTGAACCAATTTTATTTCTAGGGGTGTGTACACACACACACACACACACACAGTAACTTTTCCTGTTATTGCGCTCCGTCAGGCTCGGAAATAAAACTGAGGAAGAGGCAGAGAACTGAGGAGTGGCTGGAGTGGGGAAGTCACTAGAACCTAGTTCCTCAATTAGTTTGCATAACAGAAAAATAAAGATTGGACGGACACTTCCTCCGGTCCCCCGCTGCAGGCGACCTACCGCTCCACCCTTCGCCTCGTGATATCCCCCGTCCTGCGGCACTCCCGGTCCCTGGCACCGCTGCAAACTCAGGACTCTCGCCCACCAGCCGCGGCGCGACTCCCGGACGCCCAGCCCGGGTCCGAGAGACGCCTCCTGCCGGCCGCGGCGGTTTTCGCAGCTCCGCCCCCCAGGCCGCGCCAACTCCGCGCAGCGCAGCCGAGGCGCCGCCCGGCTCGGCCAATTCCCGGCGTTCCGAAGCATCCCACCTCCTCCTTCCCCCTCGGAAGGCACCAGAGCGCCCCCGAACCCTCGCTGCAGCCTCGTCCCAACAAGCGACCCCCGCCCACGCTGCCCTCCATCCCAGAAACCCCTCACGGCGCCTTCCACGGTTAATTTCTTCCTCGCCTCCTCAGCCGACCTTTCTGAGAGGATCGTCCTGCGAGTCTCGGAGGCTCACAGAAATAAGCCGGGAAGCGCAGGGGGAAACGCGGTCCGCGCCTCTCGGGGTGCGGCGAGGAAGGCGAAGTCTTCTGCGCCTTCAAAGTTGATCTGAAAACAGCCTGCAAACTTCTGGGCTGCAGCCAGAACGCGGGTCTGCCGGAAGGCTGCCCTCAGATGCCTGTGCCCGGCCCCTCAATCTACGAAGTGCTCCTCCGCCTCAGAGCGCTCGGGGTCCGCCCGGCGGGGGAGGCCGCAGAGACGCGCCCCCCGCGCCCACCCAGGCCAAGTGGGATCGCGGAGACGCCGGCGACCCCAACTAAACCCTTCAGTGTCTTCCTCCAATTTATACACCTGCCCGAGGCCGTAAGTGATTAAGAAGCGTAAACCAATCCCATCCCGGTACTGACGGGATCCGAGTAAATTCGGTAGAAAAAAAAGCACAGTCTAAATATCAATCACCCTAGATCCCTGAGAGGCTGCGAGGCCGGCGCCCCCGTCCGCGCCCGCCATCCCAGCTAGGGTCTCTTGTCCGCCCCTCAGAGCCCACTCGGAGCCCTTTACCTGATCGCGCAGCCTGAGAGAACGGACCGCAGGAGCCGAGTCGCCGCACCGCCGGCTCGCTGGCAGCGTCCGCGCGGGAGGATTGGCGCGGAGAGCGGGCTTGGGCGTCTAAGGGTCGCAGGCCGGAGACGCGACAAGCAGCGCACGGGCCATTCCGCCGTCGGAGTGCAGAAAGTCGCGACCGCACTCCCGATCCAGCTCGCTCGCCTGTCACCCCGAGCTCTGCTTTAAAGTGGCTTCCGGTCGCCTCCTCTCGGCTGCCCCGTCGCGGAGGCGGAGCCTGGGCAGCGGGGGAGAGGGGTGGGGTGAGAGGGCCGGGCGCTCAGTGGGTGCCGGGAAGGAGGCCCGCCCCACGTGCGCGTGCGCGCTCGCTCTCAGGGCGGTGCGCGAAGTGTGCGAGCGGCGGCCGCGTGCTCCCGCGAGGGGGGCGTGTCCTTCCGCGCGCCGGCTGGGTACCGGCGGGTCCAGGTGTACGCGCGTTGGGGAGCGCGCGGCTGTGAGGAGGGGAAGTGTGTGACGCGTGGGGCAGGCTCTACCTGCCTGCGGACACATGGAGGGTCACTGTGTTCCGAGGACACCCAGGCACCCGAGAGAGGATGTGAAACGGAACGAGCCGTTTCTGTGCGGTTGGCTTTATTTGCCTCCTCGCAAGACGCCTCCTGCCCTTGACGCCGCGGAACGCCGAGAGGAGGCAAACGACTGCTACCGCCGCTGCGGCCAGACGGGGTCGCCCGCCCCATGCCTGACGGGTCGGCCCAGCAGCGCACCCGGGTCTGCGGCCGACCCGACGCGGTCACAGGTGCGCCTGTTTGACTGGAAACGTAGCCTAACAGAGGGAAACCTGGCTTTGGCGCTTTGACAGTAAAAGCGCGAGTATGTCCTGGAAAGCTCTTAAGTACCGTAGTGACTAATTTATTCATTTAACAAATATTTGAGTGTCTGTTGTGTGCCAGGCATGCAGCTAGGTTTAGGCTACGGCCCCGATCAGCTCAGATGCCATGCCTGCCTTCATGGAACTTGCAGAGCACCTTGTACTCATCTTTAAAATATACACCGCACGTGAATTTGCTATAGTTTCTGGATTGTAAAATGTCTTGGATGGTAAGCCCTTCCTATACTGAATAGCCTTTCAGTGGTGGAGGAAGAACCACCTCGTTAAATTCATATAATCACTATATATCGGAGGAGAAAGACCCTTTTGCTCAAAGTTAATTATGGCTATATCCCCAACAGCTGGCAGAAAGGGAGAAGGGAACACAGCTTGCAAAGAGATGCTCTCTGCCCGTGGTCTGAAATCTAAACTGAATTCCACAATTCGGAGACTTTCTGGGTTGAAAAAGCCAACTATTACCTTACAAAACATGAAAGCCTGTAAAAATAGCTAAGCAGCAGTAATAATAGAGATAATGGTTTCAAGCTTTCTTAAACTCTTCTAAACCAGACTGGGTGACACACCAGCAAAAAATAGATTAAGGGTAGTACCTCCCCAGCAGGCTTATTTCAAGTTGCATCAAGTCATGGCCATTCAACTAAGATAGGAATGATATGGAAAGAATTCAGACACTAATAGGTAAAACAGAATTTTCAGGCTTAAAAACTGTATTAAGACAATATCTTGGTCTGTGCCTACTCCTACATGGAGTTACCTAGAAACAAGTATCTAAGTTTAAATCTAACATTTTACTGTTTGCTCTTTGTCTCATCTGTTCTATGGTCCTTACATTTCATGCCTTCTTTTTTTTTTTTTTTTTTTTCAGATTTTATTTATTTGACAGACAGCGAGAGAGGGAACACAAGCAGGGGAGCGGGAGAGGGAGAAGCAGGCTTCCTGCTGAGCAGGGAGCCGGATGCAGGGCTCAATCCTAGGACCCTGGGATCATGACCTGAGCCGAAGGCAGATGCCTAACGACTGAGCCACCCAAGCGCCCCTCATGCCTTCTTTTGGATTAAATATTTTTAATTCTATTCTCTTCCACCGATTAAAATACTACATTCTTTATTCTTTTAGTAGTGATTCAGTTATTTATTGCTGTGTACAAACCATCCCAAAACTTAGTGACTTAAAATATCAATTCTTATTTGCTCATGATTCTGGATTCTCTGGCTTAGGAATTCAGCCAGGGAATAGTACATGTGGCTCATCTCTGCTTAGTGATGCCTATGGCTTCAACTGGGGTGGCTCAAACGGCTGGGCCTGGCTCAACTAGGGCCATATGTCTTGGGCCTCTCCTCTGGCTATTGGCTGGGTTCCCTAGTTTTATTCTACAAGGCTTCTCCTCAGGACTCATTTGGGCTTCCTCACAGCATGATAATCTCAGGGTTCCAAGAGGGAGCAGTCCAAGAGGACAAGCCTCTATATGCAAGCCTTTGCTTGCATCATGCTTATTAATGCGTCTTTCACCAAAACAAGGCACATGACCAAGCTCAGCGTCTATGTGGGAGGGGCCCACAAGAGACCATGAATACAAATATGAGAAGGTGTTGTTCATTGGGGGTCCCTTGGATTAAGGGCAGATCACCTTAGTCCAGGGATTAATAGTTAAAAGTTACAAGTTAAAAGTTACTTCCAGGGTGTAGCCTTTTGGAATTCCAATTTAAAGTCTTTCTTCCTCAGGCCCTGAACACAAATCTTTCACCTTCCATTCCCTAACCACTTCCCTTGAGGCAGTTGAAAACTCTAGCTAGTTCTCAGCCTTTCCACTATGACTTTCAGAATGTCAGTTGCCCCAAAGAGAAAAATGGCACCAGATTCTGGACTCACCACTCTTGGATCTAGGCTGCTCAGACTGTTAAAATTTTACTGCTCCAGAGAAGGTATTTTCTACAAGGTCCACCTCAAATATGACCCCTGGAAGAAATGGAATTGGAAGGTCCTCCTACTGAACAGAATCAGGAACTGACAGATTAACTGTCCAAGGGCATAGATTTCTTGCTATAGATATCCAATAGGATTGGAGATGTTCTATGGACCAGTCACCACTGTGTGTTTCCCATTTTCCCCTTTCCTGAATGGGACTTTTACCAACATCCTGTACCTTGTCTATCTACCATTACTTATTTTAGGAGTATTGAGACAAATAACTTTTCTTTAAAAGTTGGTTGCTAGAGCATGGTTGATTGAGAGTACTCCATATCATTGGAACTTCTGGATCCTGGACTCTGAGCTCATTATAGTAACTGGATGTAAGACTTTGAGATCGTTTCTCTTGGGGAGGGGATGAATATTCCTTATATGAGAAGGGCGAGCAGATACTACTTACTGCCCCTTTCTTTTCAGAAAGAGCCTGATACTTTTGGGGTGGGGGGTGGGGTACCTAGCCAAAAAACTCATTTCCCAAGATCCCATACACTTATGAGTGGCCATGGCATATAGTTCTAGACATATGATGAGGATTTCTAGAAAAGCATTTCTTTTCCTTAACATATATAGACACACCTTTCATTTCTTCTTCTTCCTCCTAGAATACTACCATAGAATGGAGATGGAGCCTCATGATGAAAACAAAAGTGAACATGGTGTGGGAAATATAAAGATGGGATCCATAAGCTAGGGATTCTGGAGCAGAAAGGTAGGAGCCTGTGTCATCACTTTCCTCCTTAATCTTGATAACTCTGCATTCAGTAAGTTCCTCTGGCTGCATATCTAGAGTGTTTCTAATGGTAGCAGTGTCAACATTCCCAATGTTATCTCTTCTATAATTCCATTTGTGCTTGATTCAAATTTCACTTTCAGTGTTATCACTTTTCTTTCTTGCACTTTCTTTTTTGGCCAATTTTCTCTTTCAAATATTATTTTATAAAGTGTCATGTGAGATCAGTCAGTTAAGCATCTGACTCTTGATTTCAGCTCAGGTCATGATCTTGCGGTCATGAGACCGAGCCCTGCATCGGGCTCTGCACTCAGTGCGGAGTCCGCTTGAGATTCTCTCCCTCACTCTCTGCACACACCGCACCCCCCCTGCCCCGCTTGCACTCTCTCTTTCTCTCTCTCTAAAATAAATAAATAAATCTTTTTAAAGAAGTGTCATGTGAATTTATCACTGGGAGAAAAGGAGGCAACACAATTGCATGTTTTGCTGTCTGTGCTTGAACTGACTAACAGATGTGCAGTGACCAATCATTGACAAATTTTGAAAGAAGTGTTGTGATTAGACACTGTCACTGATCATGATGGGCATCTGTTAATTATAAGGTGATTTGAAGACTGAAGCTCTGGCAGTGAAGTTGTACTTAATGCAATTATAGTTGGTATACTGTGGTAACAGAAGTTTGAATCATGCCATGTGTAACTGCCTGTGTATGTGTTTGTATACATAGATATGTGTGTGAGTCTCCATAAAGGATATAGAGGTGCTCATTATACTATTCTTGCAGATTTTCTGTAAATTTTATTTTCTTTTTTTTTAAGATTATATTTATTCATTTGAGAGAGAGACAGACAGAAAGAGCATACAAGCAGGAGGAGAGGCAGAGGGAGAGGGAGAAGCAGACTCCCCACTGAGCCAGCTGGGAGCCCAATGTGGGGCTTGATCTCAGGACCTGGAAATCATGACCTGAGCCGAAGGCAGACACCCAGCCATCTGACCCAGGTGCCCCTTTTCTGTAAATTTTAAACTTACCATAATAAAAGTTGGAGGGAGGAAGGAAATAGTTCATGAGGAGACAAGACAATGCAATAAAAAACCTAGAGAAACAATAGACAATAAAAACAGACCAACAGGGTATGCAGTGAATAGAAAAGGCTGTGGAACCAAACTGCCTGGGTTTGAATCCCATTTTATCCATCAGCTGTATGATCTTTGGCAAGTTATGTAATCTCTCTGAATCTGTTTCCTCTTTAAAAAAAATGGAGATAAAAATACTACCTATGTCATGGGACAATGTGATGATTAAATAATTTGCTTATATGAAATACTTAGATCAATAGTGGTATATAGTTAATTACTTTATAGTATAAGCTGTAACAGGTTTGTTAAGATGGGGTAGACTTCAATATGTTTAGATATTGATAAGAATCCAAAAGAGGGAGGTTGAAATTGTAAGAAGGGATAATTAATGGTGTATAGTTCCAAAAAAGGTGGGAGGAGATAAGATCCAAAGGAACAGAGTTGTTCTTGTACTAAAGAGTATCTCTATTTTAACAGGAGGGGAAGAGAATAGGATGGGTACAGGTGTAGGTTGGGTAGTAAATTTGCTAGGGAGAAGGTGTTTTAAGATAATGACTTCTGTATTCTCCAG